CCCCCCCCCCCCCACACACACACACCCGAACTGTTGCATTTTATTATTTGTGCGCATCAACTATAATTTTCTATTTTTTAAAAAAAAATGTATATTAATTTACAATAAATTAAACAATCAATAAGTAATAATATATGTATTATAATTTCTACGTAACGAAATCCTACATAAATAATACCTACATAACTAATATTTGTATAATTAATACTTGCATAACGAATAATTACATAATCAATATTTGCATAACTAATACATACATAACTAATACATGCATAATTAATACCTGCATAACTAATACATGCATAACTAATACTTGCGTAACTAGAACCTACATAACTAATACCACATAACTCTAACCAGTAACCAAACGTCCCCTTATAATACAATGTGTCAGTTTCTTACCAAACAAACATAATATATATTTTAAAACAGTTATAATACATAATATTGCATACATAATTCACTTTTAATACATATTACAAATTTAACATAATATTGCTACAAATGGTAATAAATATAACGGAAAAGGGTCAAATATACCCCTGTACTATTGCACATAATTTACATATACCCCTCGTTATACTTTCGGTCCAAATATACCCTTACTGTTATACTTTGGGCCAAATATACCCCTCATCCGTTAAATATTTGAATCTCAATCTTAAAATAGACAAGTGGAGGGTTGGGATTAATTTGAAGTACCCATATCGTTTAGTCCAAACCAACACCCAAAATAACCCACTTAAACACTTTTTGCCCAAACCCATTTTTATAAGCAAACAAAAGAAGGCTACTGTTTGTCAAAAACATTACTAATGGATTAGTTTCACGCAGTACATGAATTTGATTTTTATAATTATTGTTTTCATTTGTTTTGCCAATCAAAAATACAAAACGTTGAAAAAAATTCCAATTTTTTTAAAAATAGTTCACTGTATGTTATTCTTATTGAGTTCATTGTCTCGGTTTAATTTTGAAATTTTTGAAAGTTCAACTGATATGGTGCTTGAAATTTCATTGGTTTCGATTCACCCGCTAAAATTATAAGGCACATTCGGTGGAGAAGTAGGAAACAAAATTGTTGGGTCTTCGAATCGACATTCATATTTATGGCCGAATTACTTCTAAAATTTGTGAATGGAAGTTGCTGTAAATCAATGGCATATTGAAAAAAAATTGGGTTAGTATTTTTTTTAGCTGAGATTTTCTCTTGGCGGATATTATTGAGCTAAATTCAGCTTTGGCCTTTTGGGTTTTTTAATTTTGACAATGAGTTTTAAAAAAATTCTAAGTTGTTCAATAATTTTTCACTGTAGACTCATCAAAATTTCAAGTTGATGAGATTTTGAAGTGACTCTGTGTGTTCGGATGTTGAGAATCATCAACTTAGATGAATATGGTTATTATTGAAGCGGTCAAAATTGAATCAAAGATTGTTATTTTCGTGGCATTACTCCATTGTTGTATGTTGATATTAGAAGCTTTATTTGGGTTGGGTTATGAGTTATTTTGGACAAAAAAGGATATGGGTACTCCAAATTAATCCCAACCCTCCACTTGTCTATTTTAAAATTGAGATTCAAATACTTAACTGATGAGGGATATATTTGACCCAAAGTATAACTATAAGGGTATATTTAGCCCGAAAGTATAACGAGGGGTATATGTAAACTATTTGCAATAGTACAGGGATATATTTGACCCTTTGCCCTACATAAAAAATATTGCTAAAATCAGTGATTATTTATTAAAAGGTACTTTTTAATGTAACTTATTCAATGAAAAACAAGGAGAAGTAGATTCTTAAATTATAATGCTCCTCTTGATCCTTTCTTATCTGTCGTTTAAGACCTTAACACGCTCATTGATAAAAACTTCAGTAGCATTAGTCGTGAAAGGGAATTTGATCTAATTACCTTGAAATCTTCTTTGATCAATGGATTTATATCTAATGGAAGAAACGAACGACGTGAAGGTTATTTTGGACCAAAAATAATCAATAGCTAAAGTGTCGGATCAAGGATGCATCTCCACAAGCAAACTGCACATACTCGGTATAATTCCACAAGTAGAGTCTGAGCAGGATAGGATATATGCACGCATTTCCGATAGACCCTCAACTTACAAGGAACCATGCTATTTCCAATAGACCCTCGGCTCAAAAAAGAAGTTATTAAAGCAGGATTGATCACAGGCAAACCATGAAAAGAAAAGTAAGAAACCAAAGAAAGATAGGGTCTCTACAGAAGCATACATAATTCAT